CCTGGAACCATGACTAAGTTGAAGTTTCAACTTATGTCCAGAAAACGTTATTATTGTGTGATTTGGTGGAAGTTTCGCTTCTGAACGGAAATAATCGTATTATCGCAGAAAATCGTATTTGGTGGCGGCGCCCATTCAAATTCGGGAAGTCTCTTCAACTCACTCCAAACAAGCATCATTCAAACAAATTCATCACAATACAAACAGGTCAAACAGATTGGACATGAGGGGTTTAATTTCCCACTTGCCCTACCCTTCCCCTGCCACATCCATCGCACTGTTTCCAACTGCTCTCCCCCACAGTGATTTGCCGATCTATCCTTGCACGCTCCAGCAAACCTTGACCTGTGCAAGGTAGCGCTGCAGCGCTCGAAGAGCCTGCTGCCGTGGCGACACACAACGAGTTAGGTAGCTAACTCGACCCACCATGTCTTCTTCTTGGAAGCACGCATCTGCTAAGATGTTCCAGCAAAAGTCTGAGACGTTGCATTGGTATGTCATCTCCTCGACCAACTCTTGAACCATATGGTTCTTCGGGTAAAGAGGGAACGCAGGCTTGCCACTCTGTAGCGCTCGGTACGCCATGTACTGGTAAGCCCTGATGAAATGGTTGCCAGCTCTGATGATTGCTTCTGCCCTGCACTTTGGCACCCATATGCCCTCGCTGAACAAAGAACTCACAAAGAAGTTGACGGCAGCTGTTCCTGAAGCCTCAGCATTCTGAAAACTGACCTACCCAAACTGCTCAAACAAAGGTTGGTTTAACCACGGGGTCATACAAATCAAAACGCTTGAAACATGACAAAGAAACAATGGTGCGGAGATCCTCATCGGCATCAATGATGCATTTGCGCCGTTCCATGTAGTCCTGCAACCACTGAAGAAGGGTAGCCGTCAGGTGGGCCTTGTTCCAGCTTGCAGAAGGCTCACTGGCCTTGAGGCCGAACGTGTGAGGCTCTAGGGATTTGAGATACTTGATCTTCCGGTTCTGCTCGCAGTACTCGATGTAATCGTCGCTGAGAATCTGGACCCTCTTGTCGACCGACGATCCACCTGTGACATATTGGAGGTGTTTCATCGAAGAGGCCACCCATGCTTTCCCCACACCCATGTGGATGGTGTGCCAGACATCAGGCCTATGGAAGCGTTGCTGGCCTCCAGGAGCCTCATCGTGCAGGAGTCGTGACCAATGAGGTTCCACCGACCAAGGTGGTGGGGTCCCATGAAGCCTCGCCGTCCGGATCAATCTTTGGGCCGTGTTCCTCACAGACACACGCATGGATGATCAGCGAAACCCATCTAAAGCGCACACAGCCATAAAAATAAAGAAAAATCATCAAGCAAAACAATCTAAGAGTCACATCCTCCCAGTCTCCTTCTCTTGTCCCCCCCCATGCACAAATGGCATATCCCCGGGGGGTTGTGCATGTACTTCTTGGCTTGAGCTTTTGCTTTTGGCGCTCGCCGGTAAGACCGTTCCAGATTTGCTGAAGAAACCTCGCCATAAACAGGTTCCAAACAATGAGAAGCACATAGCACCCTGGCTATAAGAACTCTGACCCTGCATGCCTCAAAAAAATCTCAAAACACCAGTCTTGAACCAGGAAACAAGGTATGACCAGTCGCCTTTGTTGGCTATGACAATAGGATACACCGTTCCATAGCCAGGGGCTTCAAAGCCTTTGTCCTCTAGCTGCTTCCAATCATCCACCACCAGGCTGATGAGGCGGCTGAAGACTGACGGATCATCGGAGTACATGTCCTGCCAGGTCGACATCACATGTCATCCAAGGGCGTCGTTGACCCGAACATGAAAGATACAAAGACATGCAATTCAGATTCCGCTGATCTGATTCCGCCCCGGCCCAACACAATGGAAAAAACCAATGCATCCCAACACCGTCCTTTGGGCAAAGCAGTGTCAACAGCCTTGTCTGAAGAGCTGTTCTCACCAGGTTCATGGGGATCCCATATGATGCTAGGTCCTTGTACCACTCGTTCGGAGTTGCAGATTTTCGCGTGCCCTGCCCCAATGCACCTGAAAACTGTAGTACAAGCATCCCGTTGCGCTTGTATGTTGTGCCCTCATCACCGTGGACCAGGATGGGCAGAAGATGCGATGTACTGATAGCACCCCGTGACTCCTGGATCCTTCTGAAGACCCCATGGTTTGGATATATTGATTGAAATCTCGACCAAAACAATTGTAAGGCCTGCTTTGCTTCACCAAAAGTTGGGGCGCCGCCGAGTAACAAGGAGATATCACTGGTGCTGCACATACTCTTGATGAGAACTGAGGGCCTGATCCACGGAAAGCTGACATAGTCACCCACAGTGTCAAAGCTCAATTCAACAGGGTAGACCAGGCCATATTGCCGGAAGATTTTGCATACACCCTCTTCCTTATATAGAAGCGCAATCGTTCGCTGCACTGTTGAAACCATACACTAAAATACACCCAACTCTTATAATTGTTGCAACTCCTGAAATGAACATGGGATGCTTTTTATACAGAAAAGGGTTTGTTATCAAACGCCAACAAAGACGCCGCATTTCTCTCCGACACTTTGTGCAGAGCTTTGATGACTGGACAGAATGATGATACGCTGCTTCCCTCGTCACCTGCTCGTTCTTCAGCAAGGCGATCACACATATCCGCTTTCGCAGATCGAACGATCTCAACGCAAGGTTCCTTGGAGTCTACGAGACATCATGTTCATTAAGATGCATGACTGGATGCCATGCATGAATGCATGCAAAGGGTATACAAAGACTTTTACACTGAAAAAACTAGTCCATCAAGCAATTTGTTTGTCATTGACTCGAGCTGCACCCTTCATTTTTATATATACAATTAAGCAACAACGCAACAAACAACAACATGTTTGTGTGATCAGCTCGCGCTCGACCGGTGGATCCAGCCATAAGCTGCCAAGAATCTCCACGGCCATATCGCCAGGCCAGGTGTCGCGCCCTCCTGGACGGACCTGGCACAATGTGCAAAGGGTGCAACCGTAATGAATGCACTGGGGCAGGGTTAAGGGAGAAGGAACCATCATCATC